GTTGCTTATAATAATATGGTTTTCTTTTTGTTTTAAGAGAATTGTCTTAGAAGTATTACAAGCTTAGGGTTCGTGACAATAAAAACTGCCGATTAAATTACCAAAATTAACACTTTAATTCACTTTACACCAATTAAAACTTAGAAGACACTAATAATTAATCACCCTTATTCACTTTATTTCGCTCCGAAGCTTCGCTTGTCTTGCCAAATTCAATAATGCCCCGATAGCGGGTTGCAGCGGCTTTAAATACACCTTTTACACCGAAACATCCAGAATATTTCAGTAAATACGGGCGCCGAACTACCAGACGCAGAAAGTTCGAGTGTGGGGCTTCTAGAAAGCTTAATTCTTCTGTTCGATACTAATTCGCGCTGTTGGTCGAAAGAACAAGAATGACATTTTCTAGGAAGCCCTCCTCGCTCTGGTCCCCGACACTAGATGGCGCTAGTGCCAGGTAACAGACATCAACTTAGGCGCGCAACACTGCTCCCTCCTAAGACATGCTCGTCCCGAGCACTATCGGCCCCATAATAACACGCCAGGTGATTCACATGGACGATCTTAGGAGTCCCTCTTGCGCCTTTCTGTATCCGTTAGGTTACATCAGTCACAATCCGGTACGGGCCGTCCCATTTAGCTTGAAGCTTAGGAGATTTCCCTTTGCTGCGGACTGGATTGTGCAACCACACTAGTGAACCTTCGTCGAACCCTTTGTTGTTAATTTTGCGGTCACACCGGGTTTTCATCTTTTCGGACATTTGCCGGCCCGATTGTCTGACGTGCTCATAGATGTCATTCATTTTGTTCCGTAAGTCATTTGCATAATCGGTTATACTGCGTGGGGCATCAGGTGGTATCCCGGTGATCAGGTTTGCAGGCAGCCGTAATTTTCTTCCAAAATTTGCGAAAGCTGGTGTCACTGATGTACTTTCATGAACAGCGCTTCGACATGACAACAAAAACTGTTATAATATATACTAAATGTATGTGCTTGTACCAATCTCGTTGCCGATTGTCTACAACTTTTGCTAGGTACCTCTCCAATGTCTGATTAAATCGTTCCACCATTCCATCAGATTGCAGGTGATAAGAAGTCGTTCTTGTTTTATGAGTACCCATAACTTGGCAAGTTTCCTGAAATATTTGAGACTCAAAATTCCTTCCTTGATCGCTGTGAATCTCTAAAGGTACTCCAAAACGACAGAAGACTTCATGAACTAGTTTATCTGCAACTGTTGAAGCTTCCTGATTTGGAATGGCGAAGCCTTCTGGCCACTTAGTGAAGTAATCCATCACAACCATGCAATACTTGTTACCGCTTTCACTTTCCGGAAACGGCCCCGCTACGTCAATGGCTATTCTCTCCAATGGTGCACCAACATTGTACAACTTCAATGCACCTCTACTACGAGTCTGAGGCCCCTTTACAGCCGCACAACTTGTACATTTGCGACACCAGTCCTCGACATCGTTTCGACAGTGGACCCAGTAAAACCGTTCTCGGTAGAGTTCGTTTAACTCCCAGATGGCCTCCTGAACAAACATTATGGTACGGCTGTAGAACATCCGGTACTTTAGCTTTAGGGATAACCATTTGCAAATGACAGCTGTCTCCCTGAATATTTTCCCGTTTACGGCACAGAAATCCATCCTGAAGCAGCAAGCTGTCCCATTGGGCCCAATAGCTTTTAGTGGTCGAACTCTTCGCTGAGACGTAGCTCCACTTGGGATTGGGAGCACTGGCCTTCATCCATTGCAGAATCTGCTTGATATCCGGATCTTCCTGCATGTTGTAAGCTGTCCTTCCACTCGTTGCTGAGGTGGTCTGTCCTGAGCATCCTCACGAATACCACTTCCTTACTCTCTTGCCTAGTACAATGTTTGCAATCTTCAGGACAAGGTCTTCTTGACAATGCATCTGCGTTGCCATGAGATTTCCCGCTGTGATGTTCAATCTCAAAGTCATATTCCTGCAGTAGTTCAATCCACCTCGCAACTTGTCCTTCTGGATTTTTAAACTGCAATAGCCATTTTAGTGCAGCACGGTCAGTTCGTAAGTGAAATTTCTGCCCCAGAAGATATTTGCTAAAATGCTGCAACGACTTTACCACAGCTAACAATTCGCGTCTTGTTACACAAAAGTTCCTTTCCGGTTTTAACAACGACTTGCTGAAGTACGCTATCTCGATCTCTTGGTTACCATTCCGTTGAGACAACACACCGCCAAGTCCTATATGATTTGCGTCTGTGTCAACTATAAATCCTTTTTTGCATCAGGGTATCCCAAAATAGGTGTTTTGCACAGACGGTCCTTGAGCTCCTGAAATGCGATACTGCAACTTTCATCCCAAAAGAAATATCGCTTCTCCTCGGTTAGCTTGTGCAGAGGTTTGGCTATATCTGCAAAGTTCTTCACAAATCGCCGGTAATAGGAGCACAAATCCAAAAATGCTCTAACCTGCGTCTTGTCTTTTGGAACCGGCCAATCCTTGACAGCAACGATTTTCTCCGGATCCGTGCGGATACCTTCTTCCGACACTACATACCTCAAAAAGTTAATTTGCCGTTGTTTGAATAGTGAACATTTTTTCGGACACAACTTGAGTTTGGCACTCTGTATCTTCATTAGCACGCGTTCCAAGTTTTGAAGGTGTTCCTCAAACTTACGACCTACGATGATGATGTCATCCAAGTAAAACAGACAGGCATCGCCAAATAGCCCGGTAAGTACAAGCTCCATCAGCCTTTCAAACGTTGCTGGAGCATTGCACAATCCAAACGGCATTACTTTAAATTGCCACAGACCCTTTCCCGTCGAGAACGCGGTTTTCTCCTTGTCCTTAGGGTCAATTTCAACTTGTCAGTAGCCACTTTTTAGATCCAGCGTGCTAAACCACTTTACTCTTGTAAGCATGTCCAGCATGTCATCAATTTTTGGCAAGGGATAGCTGTCCTTCTTCGTAACGTCGTTCAGACGGCGGTAGTCAACACAAAACCGCATGCTGCCATCCTTCTTCTTTACCAGCACCACGGGTGAACACCATGGACTAGAGGAAGGTTCAATAACACCATCCTTCACCATTCCTTCAATCATGGTTACCGCTTCTTTTTCACGTGCTACCGGCAATCATCTTGGTCGCTGGCGGATAGGCAATTCTTCTCCTGTGTTTATTTTGTGTTGAACTAAGCCGGTCTTCCCAATGTCAGCATCGTTTGACGAGAATACATCGGCGTACTTGAGTAACAACTTCTTCTCCTTGACCATTTTATTCGGGGAGAGAACGCTGCGACAGTCTTCTAAAAGTGTGCTCACTCTCGTTTGTGCATCCTTGCTGGGGGTCCCAGTCGATAGATATTGGCACCGACGTAACCAATCCACTTCCTCACAAGTACCAACCAGTGTGCCTTTTTCTATAATCTGTTCCTGGCCACAAAGGTTCAGCACACGTACTCCTGAGATGTTAGTGGCTCTGACCAAGATCGAGCCACTTTCCATGGAAGGTCATTTTCTAACCTTTCCACGAGTACACAACGATGAGGTTGCCCAGGATTCCGAGGAAGACTAACCGGAACAATCGTTTCCGATCTCGGCGGAAGAACAATCTTCTTAATGCTGTACACGTTTCCTGGTAACGCACCTTCCATAAATAGTTCCTCCCGTCCACATTTCAAAACACCTTGCTTAACGTCGATCTCACAACAATTATTCCTCATAAAGTCTAGGCCCAGTACCTAGTCGTCCATTATATCAGCTACGATGACATTATGCAGGTAGATCACGTTGCATAGATTCAACTCCATCTCCTTCTCTCCACGGACGAGTATACGCTGACCTGTGGCCGTTACCAAATTAATGCGTTCTCGGTTGTATGTGGAATCCCCAAGGAACTGACTTATAAGTTGGGAACTAACAACCGTACGAGAGGCTCCAGTATCTATGGTCAGTTTACACGATATTCTTGCCCTTTATGATTAGGTGGTTCCCATCATGGACTTGTGAGATCGATATCTTGGGGCTCTTTTAACATCAGCCAGCACCCGCCCCACAGTTGTGGCTTTTACTCGTTTCCCTGCTGCTGCTGAGCGGTGCTGTTGGCCGCACTACCCTCCTGAGATCGTTCACCTTCCCTTTCTAGGGTTCGCTTAGGGCAGCTGGATCGAAGATGGCCCCTTTCCCCACAGCCATAGCACCTAGGGCTGTATCCTTTATTGCAGTCGCGAACTGTCGCTGCTGCAATCTCCCTGACAAGATGGGAACGATGATCCTGCCGCACGGCTTCCACCTCCAGTGCATGAGCCAAGGCGCCTTTAAGCGTCTCTTGGTGCCCAAGCCTCACAGCAGCTCTGACTTCAAGATCGTGGATGCCGTCGATGAATGTCTGCACCAGGTTCCCTTCAATGAGCGCAGGTACAGACTGATATGCTTTTCGAACCATCTTCTCCACCTCAAGGGCCCACTGCTGCAGGTTTTCGTTGCTGCGTTGCACGCGATCTTTAAGCTGCACACGAAAGACGTGTTCCAGATAACAGTCGCCATATCTCGCTTCCAATGACTCAAGGAGCTGCTCATTAGTCAATGTATGATCTAACTGAGGCACAATAGTTTTTGTGTCTAATTTGGTACAAAATAGCCGAAAATAAATCAGAAAGGTCTAAATATTGATACCCCTGGCGCATTCGCTTCGCATTTCACGAACAACTTACCAATAAAACATTTACATAAGAACGGAAATAAAATAAACAATGCGGTCTAATCGCCACCAAATTTGTTGTTGATGTATTAAAAAAAAGTACCTGATGATTTCTTATATTTACGCGAACATTGCACATGATTAAAACTACTTTTACGGATTTTTATCGCGTTTATTTTTTCTTACTTTTTATTTTTATTTTTAATTCCCGACGTTTCGGGCGCTTTCCAACACCCATGGTCACGGGGGACTGAGATGACTGACGTCCCGATGTCATTGTTAAACCCGGAGTACCTTCAGCTTTTTTTAATTATTGTTTATGGTCCGATCTATGCAAAATGAACTGACTATGTCCTGAGGTCTTGCAGTGGTATGCTTGGGTTTAGTTTTAATTTTATTGATTATAGGATCCCAAGCAGGTGGTAGTACCCAGCCTCCTTCTCTATTGAAATTAGGATGTTTTTTAATTTCAATAGCCTCACGTATCATCCTTGGTAGGAATCGGTGTTCTTTCGCGAGGATTTGTGGTCTATCAAATCTGATGTAATGGTTGGGGCCGTCTAGGATATGATCACAAACTGCAGACTTCCCGGAACGTTGATGCTTCACATCAGCTATATGTTCTTTTACGCGGGTCCTAATTGATCTTTTGGTTTGTCCTATATAAGAGAGACCACATTCACAATCAAGCTTGTACACTCCTGCATCTTGTAGAGGAATATCACACTTGACGGATGGTAGGAACTGACTCATCTTCTTCGGCGTCTTGTAGAATGTTCTAATAGAAGCTCGCTTCAAGATATAGCCAATCTTGTCTGTGACACCTCTGTACAGCAGGCACACGCTCGACTGTGGCCGGCTTCACTCGGTCACTGTGACGTAGGCGCGGGACCCGAAGCTTGTTGTCGTGCAGAACTTGCTTGACGTGCTGAAGCTCGGCGGCCAGGTGTTTGCTGTCACAGATCCCTCGTGCTCTCTGTAACAAAGATTTGCCCACGGTAGCTAACCACCATCCACCATCCTTCACAGTTAGCTACCGTGGGCAAATCTTTGTTACAGAGAGCACGAGGGATCTGTGACAGCAAACACCTGGCCGCCGAGCTTCAGCACGTCAAGCAAGTTCTGCACGACAACAAGCTTCGGGTCCCGCGCCTACGTCACAGTGACCGAGTGAAGCCGGCCACAGTCGAGCGTGTGCCTGCTGTACTACCATATGTCAGAGGTGTCACAGACAAGATTGGCTATATCTTGAAGCGAGCTTCTATTAGAACATTCTACAAGCCGCCGAAGAAGATTAGTCAGTTCCTACCATCCGTCAAGTGTCATATTCCTCTACAAGATGCAGGAGTGTACAAGCTTGATTGTGAATGTGGTCTCTCTTATATAGGACAAACCAAAAGATCAATTAGGACCCGCGTAAAAGAACATATAGCTGATGTGAAGCATCAACGTTCCGGGAAGTCTGCAGTTTGTGATCATATCCCAGACGGCCCCAACCATTACATCAGATTTGATAGACCACAAATCCTCGCGAAAGAACACCGATTCCTACCAAGGATGATACGTGAGGCTATTGAAATTAAAAAACATCCTAATTTCAATAGAGAAGGAGGCTGGGTACTACCACCTGCTTGGGATCCTATAATCAATAAAATTAAAACTAAACCCAAGCATACCACTGCAAGACCTCAGGACATAGTCAGTTCATTTTGCATAGATCGGACCATAAACAATAATTAAAAAAGCTGAAGGTACTCCGGGTTTAACAATGACATCGGGACGTCAGTCATCTCAGTCCCCCGTGACCATGGGTGCTGGAAAGCGCCCGAAACGTCGGGAATTAAAAATAAAAATAAAAAGTAAGAAAAAAATAAACGCGATAAAATCCGTAAAAGTAGTTTCAATCAAAAAGTACCTGGTTGACCGAGCTTTGCTCGGTTTTTTTTTTGAAATTACATTTAGATACAAATTATATACTGATGAAACATCAATAATGTTTTTGTAAAATCTAGTGCAAAACGATAAAAACTTAGTGATTGTAACAATTGAATAGTGCCGTGAGTTTATTTTTACCTTAGTTATACCTAATCATGCATATATATCAATATTTAATAACACAAATCTAAAATTTCATGTAATATTTTTATGCAAGACCGTTGACAGACTCGAAAATTTAAAAAAATCTACATGAACAATACATCATAATATTATTCATAACAGTGCCATCTAGTAAGGTATAATCGAACTGCACATAACACTCAACAACATGACATCTAAATTCAATGTGAAAACTACTAGTAGCGGCCGCAAGATGCCGATAGTAGTAACATGTTATAAATGCAAAAACTTAGTTGATATAAAGAAAACTGCAATATGTTCATTATGTAATAATAGATATGATTTAGACTGTGATGGCTACCCGGAAAAAACATCATATCGCCTAATGGATCAAGAAAGAAAAAAGGCGATGCAAAACATGTATAAAAAATAAAAAAAGATGTGAATAGCGACATAACTAATATCACAGTGAGAAAAAAACAAAACCTCCCCGGACAATGTACATCCCTAGAAGAATCATGTTATACAGAGAAACTGCAAGGTTTTGAATCCTTACAGGTATCGGAGAAGGATACATTTTACACATTAGACTCGCACATACTCACGGACTATAATATATCTGATGTATCATTTTCAACGCCGAGTAAATTTCCAAAGAGCGTAGACGGCACAATGTCTGAGACAACGTCAATCTCAGAAATGAAATCTACAATATCTCAGCTAACCTGTAACCTTCGTAGTACTCAAAATGAGTTAGAAAACATAATATTAGAAAATAATGATCTTCACAGACAGATAAATAAGTTAACCACAGAAATTAAAATACTAAAATCTCTATGCTATTCCCCCATAAAAATTGATAGTCCTCAAACAGGCAATACATCTAATAAGAGGAGACACTCCTTGCTACTTCACAGTCCGTTTTCCGTGCTACCCTCACCGATAGTCACGTCATACAACTACCCCACCCTAATTCGACGATATCAAGCCTTCAACAAAAAATTATCAATTTGCAACAAGAATTAAAAGATGCAGAAAAAGAGATCATAACTCTCAATAAAAAAATAACAAATCTGACACAAAATACTCACTGTGAAACCAAGGATAAATCGAGCAAGACCTCAAAACCTGTGACGAGACAGCAAATAACAGCCATGAAAAAATTATTTACATCATCGGTTCTCAACAATGCGTTGGCCTAGCCGCAGCAATATCACACTCAAGATCAGAGACACAATATGAACATTATGGAGTTATTGGTGAAACGAAATCCTATGCACCAAGTAACGAAATAATAAGAAATTGCCACAACATGGAATTAAAACCGGATGATAAATTAGTCATATGTTTAGGAGAAAATGATCATAATTTAAAACAAGTTTTATCACAATTACAAACTATAATAGATACTTTTAGTAAAAATACAATAATTGTACTTAATGTTATTAAAAATAGGTACAAAAATGTTAATAATTTAAAACTATTGTATCAAAAATATTTGCCAAAAACGTAAAAAATGTAAATTTGTAGAATGTAAAAAATATTCAAATCGCTTCGACATTTGTAAATCAATAAATTATGCTATTGACTATAGTGACTAAGCAGAAAAATATTTAAATCCTAGTGAAATTAGTAAAAGAATAGTAATAAGCCAAGTTTTAAATTATGTAAAACCATAAATAAACCAAAAAAAGGAACAACTCCCATCTACTTTAAAAAAAATTGACGAATACTCAAAACCTCCTGTTATTTATAAGAAAGGGACCATGCCCTATTATTTTCCAGTAATAAAAAAGAACGATAAATTTTTCCGACCATAAAAATTTAATTAATACTCATCATTTTAGTATTCTTCACCAAAACATTGCTAGTGTTTTGTCAAAACAAGATTTAATAGACGTAACTATAGAGGAGTTAAGAGCAAAAAATAATGATCCGGATGTAATATGTCTTTCAAAACTTTCATAAAAAAAGGTTTTGAGAGTTATGTAAGAATATGTGGGAATGACATGGCCGCCAACTTCTGCAGAGAAAAACAAAGAGGTGGAACATGTATTTTAGTTAAAAAGGGTATAATGTTCAATGAATTATCGTTCATAAAAAATTATGCTACCCAGAATACGTTCGAGGCATGCGGCATAGAAATCATACATATTAAATTAATTACTATTTGTCTCTAAAGAACCCCCCAATCCGACCCAGCACAGTTCTTATTTAAGTTAAACACACTTTTGCATGACCTAACTGTAAAATACAAATCGAAAGTACATATAGTTATAGCTGGAGACCTTAATATAAGCACACTAAAAAGGCAAAATCACAAACTATTTACAAGATTTGTACTACAATTATAACTTGAAAATACATTTCGATGTTCCTACACGTAGGTCATCTTGTATTGATCATATATTAAGTAACATACAAAATGCGACTGCAACATTGCTACCACTGTATCTTTCCGATCATGATACAGCACAATTGTTAAGCTGTCCTATAAAAGGTAAGCCACAAAAACATGCTATATATTATGCTTACAAGAGAGACTATAACTTAGATAACATCAGGAAGTTTAAAGAAAGCCTGAAGAATTTGTCATGGTCTGAGGCATACATGGAAAATGATGCTAACACAGCATTCAGCCGATTTCATGAATTATTCTGCCTTTTCTACTATCTCTGTTTTCCAAAACAACGAATTAAAATAAATTTACAAAATAAAAAACAAAATTGGATAAGCAAAGGACTCAAAGTAAGTTGTAAAGAAAAACGAATGTTAAGATTTAAATATTATAAAAATAAAAGTAAGGCTAACAGACTACGTTACCTATCATATTCTAAGCTCTTAAAAATGTGTATTTAATTTAAGAAAGAATGCTAATATTAAGTTTATAAATAAAAATAATAACAAATGTAAAGCAACATGGACCATTATCAAAAAAGAAATATCTAACCCATATGACAAGAAAATATAGAAAAAATTATAGCTAATAATAAAGTTCTTACGAATCCTGTAGATACAGCTTCTGCCTTTAACAATCATTTTATTGATTTGACCCGTGAATCAACAACACACACTAAAGCGAAAAATGTAACCATTAACATTGCAATTCAAATTCATTTCAACTCTATGTTTCTTAGACCTATGTCTGAAAATGAGGTTAGAAGGGAAATAATGCTATTAAAAAATACTAGCTCTGAAGGTCACGATGACATACACACAAAAATAATAAGAAAATGTAAAATTGAATTAATCCTCCTGAAATCTTGACATATTTAATAAAATTTTTCATTTTCGTGTGGAATCTTTCCAGATACATTGAAACTATCAATAGTTAAGCCGCTGTTTAAAAAAGGAGAGAAAGATGATATTAATAATTATCGACCAATAACCCTAATATCCGTAATATCAAAAATATATGAAAAATGCATGTATAAAAGACTTATTGAATTTTGTAATAAATATCACATTATATCAAACGAACAGTACGGCTTTCAAAAAGATAAATCTACAACTTTGGCGATATTTTCACTCATAAAAATAATACTATTAAATATCAATAATAATAATTTCATAACGGGACTTTTTTTGACCTATCTAAAGCCTTTGACCTAGTTTCACACGACCTATTGTTACAGAAATTGGAAAAGATTGGAATTAGAGGACCAACCCTTCATTGGATAACATCATATCTTTAT